GGGTCATCCCATCTATTCTTATACTCAACCAGTCTACTAGATCTTGCCAAAAGTCAGTTGTTACTGAGCAGGAAAAAAACAAATGATCAATACTTTCCACATTTTGTGAACAAAATCCACATGGCTCTACCTCAAACCCAAACCTTTTTTTAAGCATTTCAGCTGCTGGGTAATATCCATTAATTATTTTAAATTGCATTTCTTTGACTTTGGGGGGGATAGGCCATTTTAAAAAGTGCGTATATTTGTTCGTTATTTTAACATTACTCCCTTTTAGTTTTGTGTTACTGTTAAAGTCGTGAAATAATTTGTTTTTAAATATCTTGTTCATGGTTTTATTATTACAGTTTTTATCCGTCAAAGGAATCTGGTTTACTAGGCAAAAAAAAAGAAAATCATAAATTAAACAAAAATAAAAGAAGAAAACTGAAGCTTTCTAAATCTGTATAACAATGACAGTGACAGCTTTACTGGAAAAAAGCTTCCTTTCAGTGAAAACCATGAATCAGTTTCAACACAGACACAAAAGCTGTTTTACAAGACACATCCATCCTCTGACACCTCACTGCAAACATGTGCTTCCCATTTCACCTATAAGTACATGTTTTGTTGTGTAACCATTAACAGAATCCTTGAGGTTTTAGGTCTATACTGAACAGCAGTGGAGACAAAAGGGTTTTTCCTTCCCACTGTCACCATGTGCTTGCTGATTTTTGGGGTTTACTCGTCTCATAAAACGAGCAGAAACTGCAAAGCTAAGAGCAGAATTTATAAAATTAACAGCTCGATAAAGAGATTCCCATTTTTATTTTCAGCCAGTTTCCATTTTGGAGGGAAAAGGTTTCAAACTCGTCCAGGCCTCAAAGCTCACCTGTGTTCTCCCTGGTAGTAATAAATGCATAAAAATAAGGCTTTAATGAAGACAAGGAATGAACACTTCACTATAGAATATTACATCAAATAAATACAGTCAATGAAAATAATGAATTATGCATTTGCTTCACATGGCGAACAGATTACATACAAATCTCTCCAAATATGCATAAAATCAATAAAATATACACCACTCACTACTCATCAAGATGAAACACAATTCAAACTTACAAACAAAGCTTCTTCATGGCATAACAAGGTGGATGACGAAGGATTAAACAGGGAGACTTCTGGTACGCCTCATTGTGCAAATCCCAATACAAAAATGGCTTCCTGCATTACCCCACTCTAAACATCCAATAGGAAGGAACAAGCCAAGCCACAGAAAAATTCACTTGACCGCAGTCTCCAAGCTAACCACTAGGAGATGCTAAAATTCTCAACGTGCACATAACATTACAGAGCCATATATATAAGAAATGATTAGACAGGAAGACGTGGCTTGTCGTTCTTGAATACTCCTGAATGCTAAAAAAAATTCATCTCAAATGTTCCAAAACAATAGTGTAATCAGCTCCATCTTGATATGTGCACTGAATTTAAGTAAACACTTTATAGCAGAAAATAAGCGACAAAAACAACACACTACAAAGGTGGAGCAGGTCAGTAATATTACAGTGTTGGGGTTGTGTTGGGGTGGTGAGATCCAACATGCTACCTGTAGCATGCTGCTAAAGCCATAAACAAGTATTTACAAAAATCTAATATCCCAGACTAGGTACCAGGTCTCTGCCTAAAACTAGTTAATTTAGAGCATTTTCAAATAGAAACATCTCTTACATTTAAAGTAAAATAGCTTAAATATAAATCAATGACATCAATGTGATCACACATTAGTGGGTATCAGTTCAATTTGATTTTATGTACACAAATCACAACAGTAACCTCAAGGTACTTTATTGTAACCCTACAATAATACACGTCACATGTGGTATCCACTGAAATGTCAGAATCTCAGCTAAAAGCTCACAAAACCATTTCAATAACCACCAAACTCTCTGTCATCTTTTCTTTATGCTTCAGGTGTGTGTTCTTTTCAGAGACAATACTTGGTTTATGGCTATGTCTGCATTCTGGGCACCTCTGATGTAAGGTGCTATACAGATACAGGCATTTACTGAAAAGGCTGAATTTGTGGACATGCATCCTCTCATGTGCGTTTACATAGGGATGGGTATCGTTTAGGTTTTATCCGATACCAGTACCAAACCGGTACTTTTGAAACGGTGCCGGTGCTTAAACGGTGCTCGAACCGGTGCTTAAAGAATGGAGAACACACACTTTGTCCAAAAACCTCTCATGTTCAGCTGTTTTTTTGTAAAAAGATAACAATGTTAGCCTTTTCTGCAGCTATGGGGCATATATGGTATCACTCTCTCTT